TCTGGGCTTCACCACACTGTTGTCTGTGTCCACTGGCTCTGCGTGTATGTCCTTTGGCTTAATTTCTGGCTGTATTTCCTCCTGAAGTGGTCAGTTGATATTTCTCCTTCTAGTGAATGCTTTCTCATCATTCATTAGCCAGTTTAGCTGCCCCTCTTCTCACCACACCGTGTCCTGTGCTGTGTAAGTGCCCAGGCGTGTGCCCACCAGGGGGAGGGAGGGGCACTGTCTCTCACATAACGCCTGTCACCTGGTAGGTATCCACTCGGCGATGGCTGTATATGTTCTTTTACTTAAATGAATGCTTGTCTTCGCGGTGGGCAAAGGGAGTGCTGGTGACTTGGTGTTGTGGGCACACAGGACAGTAAGGGCGGTGGCATTCAGGGTGTCTCCCAAGGTGAGGCACCGGCAACAGATGATTGTGACGACAGAAGGTCTGTGGCTCCTGCTCTCTCCAGAGCGGTTTTACGTTTGGTGAGTTTCACTCAGTTTTTGCTACAAGGCTTGTGCGCTAATTCCGATGAATTTCTGTGCAGTTTGGGTGTACAGGTGAGTTTATTTTCATATGTGGGTTATATCTTAGTGCACCTCTAGAAAAACATAAAATTACAGAGTATACACGACATTTATTAACCCTCTTACCTCCAGCTGTTTAACCTCGAGAATGTTGTGATCTGGATTATGAAAGTGGCAGCGGAAATAGATGCATCTGTATTAAGTGTTTCTGCAGCCATTTGAAAATAAAAGCACCTCAAACATCAACACGTCCGTATGTAGAAGCAGAGAGAACTTAGGAATCACCAAACCGAGGGCAGTGCCACAAAGCAGCATCCGACACACGGACCATGACTGCCCTCAGCTGAGCATGAAGCCCTGCTCCTTGGGGCCTGCTCTAGTGGGATGGCGTGCGGAGGCCGTCGCCCTTTCTCCCTGTAGGACCACCACAGCTGGTGAAATTACTTTTAAAAAAATACAGCAAACGGAGAAACACTTACTCATGAAAACCTGAATCTCGGTAGGAACATTAGGAGTCCTCACCGCTCGGTTACCCACACTGCCGGTCAGAGAGTGGGCAGCTCTGCTTCCTGCGGTGCAGCCCGGAGCACTGGCCTCCTGCTCCCAGCGCCCCCTCTGGGGCGAGCATCTCACAGGAAGGGCAGGCGCCAGTTTCTGTCCTTCCCCAGCCCTCACTTGTAGGGCAGAAGCCCGTCCCAGGCACCGCAGGGCAAGATTTACCCCTTTGCCTCCACCCCGGCTCACTCGCCCCAGCACCAAGAGGGAAGCCAAGAAAATGAAGGGCCCTACCCCACGGCCTGTGCCCCTTGAGGAGCAGCTGTTCCTCCAGGGCAGGAGGCTGCAGTCCCTCCACGGGTTCCTGCGCGGTGGGTTGGGCTTTCTCCGGGGAGGGCAGGCGGGAGAACAGCCTGCAGCTCTGACTGGGTGAAGCGGAGCCTGGTGAAGCCCAGGGGTGAGGGCACGGTGGGAGGCGACTGGCATTTGGTGGAAAGCAGTCGAGGGGAGACTGTAGCTACTTTCCGGCTCAGCTGTAGCCTGTCCAGAGCGACAGAACCAGGGAGAGCTGGCTGGGAAGAGCCGTGGGTGGATGAAGCCGTGAAGACTGGCCCACAAAGGGGACGCATTTTATTGCATTTTATTGGATCCGGCTGTGCAGCAGTTTATGCCTGAAGGCAAGTCAGAAACAGAACTGGTGGTTGAAGGTGGCATGACAGCGAAGGACAGTCGGAAAGAAATGCTGGACTGATGAGTAAGGAGGAGGCAGAGAGCCTTCCCAGGCGGGAGGACCAGACCATGTCAGGGCGGCAGGAAGTCCCGCGCAATGCCAGGATTTTAGGATTCTAGTCACTGCAGTAATTTCCTCTTTCTTTCCTGTCTTTTAACACTTACCTACTGGACCATTGGGTGAAAATAATACATGCACATGGTACAGTTACAAATTTAAAAGGGTAAACTTAAGTCTCATTCCCTCTTCCGGCCCCACCTACCCAGTGTTTCCCAGAGGCAATTCCTATAATGATTTGTCCTATTCATAAATTAAAATATGTGAGCATATTCTTTAAAAACAGTCACGCACAGCTGTAACTGGTTTGGCTCAGTGGATAGAGTGTCGGCCTGCGGACTGAAAGGTCCCAGGTTCGATTCCGGTCAAGGGCATGTACCTGGGTTGCGTGCACATCCCCAGTGGTGGGTGTGCAGGAGGCAGCTGATTGATGTTTCTCTCTCATCAATGTTTCTAGCTCTCTATCTCTCTCTTTCCTCTCTGTAAAAATCAATAAAATATATATATTTAAAAAACAAAACAAAACAAAAAAAACAGTCACGCACAAATACATACTGTACAACCTTATACTGCGTCTTGTTTTTTCACTGGACAGAATATATATGCATATGGAAGATGAACATTTTTTTAAAAATTATAAGTATTTCAGATGCACAAAAAGATGCAAACACAATATAATGAATATCTGTGTATCCACCCTGAGGTTTTTCCAGTTCAGTTGCTCTTCCCCTCTACCCTCGGGCAGCTGCTATACTGAATGCTGTGGCTACCATTTCCATGTGCACTTTACTGCATGTGTATAATATACCCCCAAACAGTGCAGTGCTTTTATTGTTTTTAAATTTGATAGAGGTTGCATCATTCTGTAGTCTATAACTGTTTTCTCTCACCAGGTGAGAGTTACCCATGTGGACGTGTGCATCTAAGGCTCATTCATTTTCACTGCGGTATAGCGTCTCCTGTTTAGCATAAAGTTTGTTTCCATCTTTTTGCCATTACAAACAGTGCTGATTTGAGCACTTGAGCACATGTATGAGTTTCTCTACGATACATACTTAGGGATGGCAGTAAGTCTTCACCTGCTTTATCTTCATTCTTCATTCTTTTAATTGGGTGCCTAGTATTCCTTCATGTTAGCATATCATCATTTACTTAGCCAGTCTAGTGCTGCTGGCCTAGATTGTTTGCAGCTTTTGCACATGTGAGAACATATCTGTAGAATAAAATTGCTGGGCGAAAGTGTTTTAATGAGGCCTGTTATATCATTTGATAATTATTTTTCTACTTAAATGAGCTCATCAGGTGACAGTATCAGCACATTAGTTAAAATGTTTTAAGTTTCACAGTATTTTCCAGCCCTAAATTCTGCCTGACTTACTAGTCAGTAATACTTCCTTGTATGCCCTATCCCAGTCCAGCCCCCAGTATGGACATACTTTTATAAAATAAAGGTATTAATTTTTAATAAAACCATTAATCTGGAAGCATACAGCTTAATATTTCTCATACAAGTGAATACAAGCCTTATCTGGTATGGTTTTCGGTTTGATTATATCTTGTCTCACTGGGAACTCATTGGAAGACTCTGGAGCAGATGCGAAATATAACACCACAGGGTTCAGCTCACCGCAGCCCAGGGGTCAGCGCCGGCCTCTGGCCTGTGTTTGAACGGACCGTGAGCTAAGAATGTTTTTAAAATTCTTCTTTGTTTATTTTCATTTTTAAATGGTTAAAAGAACAAAAAGGTGATCATTTTGTAAAACTTGGAAAAGTTCAAATTCCCGCCCATAAACGAGGTCCTGTTGGAACAGCCGCGCTCACTGTACTTGCACCTGTGTGGTCTGTGCTGCCAGTCTGAGCAGCAGGCCGGGCTGCCTGGCGCCCTGCAGTGGCAATGGTGGTTTCTAACGTGAGTGTTGCGAGTGCCACACACACCACTGTGGTGTGACATTGGGAAGTGACTCCAGCGCCTACCACCACGTCAGCACAAAAGACGGCTCTGCGTGCTTTTTAGCGCAGTGGGCTGCGGATTATTTCACAGAGTTCGGAGGCAGTGTGGTCATTACGTAGTGACGCAGTAGCTGTGCTGAAGGATACATCTCCATTCCAAGCCCTCACGACACTATCCCCAGCTCACAGGAAAGCAATGGCCAGAAAATTACAAAGTAAAATGGAATATTTCATCACAGCAGAATTTCTTCCCCAAAATAAAACATTCAAATGAGGCTGTATCCAAAGTGAATTTCAAAGTGGCTCACATGTTAGGCAAGCAAGTAAAACACATTTACCAACTGTGAGTTACTTAAATCACACTTAATCACACTTACTCACTCTCAGGGACTTCGCCATCATCAGCTCTTTGCATTTTTGTCAAACGAACTGAGCATCCCGTGCCCCACCACAGCAGTTCCGGGGGCACGGCAGGGGTTATACCTATAATCAAGACTTTTCCATGAGAGAACTGCCTCCACCACTGTTACCTCTTTGAAAGTTAATTTTTGCTGCAGGTTTGATATTTCTTAATGAATCCACCTGTAAACTACAAGACAAACCAGTGCTTATATGCAAAACTTATATTGTAGTCAAGTCACTGACGACAACATCATTTGAAGTACAGGTAATAGCAGGCTACTTGAGGAACTTCCATACGTCACTTTCATTGAAAGTAATGATATAAGGCAAATATAAAAGAAGAATGTAGTAGAATTTCATACTTCCTTTTTTTAAAAACATATTTTATTGATTGTTTACAGAGAGGACGGGAGGGGATAGAGAGTTAGAAACATCGATGAGAGAGAAACATCGATCAGCTGCCTCTTGCACGCCCCCTGGGATGCCCCCAACCAAGATACATGCCCTTGACCGGAATCGAACCTGGGACCCTTGAGTCCGCAGGCTGATGCTCCATCCGCTGAGCCAAACCGGTCAGGGCTCATACATACTTTCCAAGTGATATGTGCTCCATTAAAATCATGTGCTTGTGGATTAATGTCAGTATTTGGCTGTTGTGAAAGGAAATATTCAGGATGAAGTATATAAAATTTTACCGATCCATATTAACATATGACCCCTTGCAATCGATTTTTAATGATCAGGAATACTGACTTTGAATTCTAGTTAATTGAAATGTTATCACCCAAAAACGAATTATAGTCTCCTTGGTACACCTGGATTAGAAAAGAAAATCGCACTCCGTTGTTACATCTTGAATTTCATCAATAAACATTTTGTGGATACTTGTTTTCTTTCCATATATGTACCTACATGGTATCCTCAGTTTCCCTCTTGGCCAAAATATTGACTGCCTGCCTTTATAGAAAAATTTTGCCAATCTCTGGCTTAGAGAAATGTGGCTCAGAACAAACCATTTCCTGCCACTTTTCAATAGCATTTTTTGGCTTTGTTTTAAAAAGAATATTATTCCTCACAGCAAGAGAAATGGAGTACAAATAACTTCATAGAATTTCTTGGTCCTTATCCTTGTGGGAGAGCTTTTCCAGCCTATCATCTATAATGGTTTCATATTGTAATTTCTGGACAAGGTATCACTTCTTAATGCCTTTTAGATGTGACCTTGGGAAGAATACACATAGATTGAGCCCCTGCTCAAGGCCAGCCACTGTATGCATGTCTATTTGAAGCATTGAAATTGGTTGTTATTGCCTTAACTCTCAAAGTGGTTAGACCGAGGGATGGTAGTCTGTTTTGGTGAGGTTTGAGTAAGTCACATTTTGCTAAAAACCTGTGTGTTAAAACACTGTTGATGCCAAAATATATTTTTGTTTTGTTTTTAATTTACAATAAGAAAATTTATAGCTCTGCCTCTTCAGATGGATTGCTTCTACGTCATGAAAAATTTTAAAGTTGAATAAAAATAGGAAGAAGGAAAAAGTGCACCCGTGCCCTGTGTGAAGACTCCACTAGAAATCTTGTGGTGTTTTCTTTCCTGCTTCACATCAGTGAAATGTGACGAGTGCCTGTATCAGCCTCCCCAACAAGTGTTGATTTTTATTTTGAAGGGAAATTTGAGAACGGTGTTGCAGAAGGAATGGTGGATCCTAGCCTAAACCCCATTGCAGCCTTTCGACTTTCAGTTATTCAGAATTCTGCTGTTTGGGCCATTCTCAATGAGGTAAGGCAGTACATCAGTGCAATAGCTTAGCCTACATTTTTTTTTAACATTTTGATTTCATATTTAAGACCTTTTTGGAAATGAAAATTAATTGCCTCATTGTACTCTTCACAATTTTGTATTTCAGATTCATATTAAAAAAGTCACCAACTGATCATCTCCTAAGAGACCAATACATTTTTTCTGTATGTTTGTTGATTAAAGATAGTGAACCATGTACTTTTTTTTTACTTGAACACTACCTCTTGTGAATCTACTGTAGATGGTTGTCATTTCCACTCGGCAAGTGACTCTCCCACGGATAATATATTCATTCAAACCTAAGCTGTCCTCCAGTTTTAACTTGACTCAAACATTTTACAGCTACGACAGCCTGTTAATATGACTTGTACTACTTAGGTATTATACTAATACATAAGAGTTGTACATATTGTTACATTCCTTAAATTTGAGAAAAAATGTTAAATTTTATGAAGGGGGTACTTTTGAGATTCATTTATTTTACTATTATAGACCCTCTTTTATAGATTATCAGGGATTATATATAAATATATAAATATACATAAAATGTTATGGAGTTAATTTATTAGAAACACTTAAGAAGTACATATTTTTGTGCAGTAAATTTTTGAATCAATACTTTTTTTGAAAACCAATTACCTTGCTTTTTTAAGTTTTCTGTATTTTCCTTTGGAAAAGCAAACATAAGTTAATGCCATTTTTCAAATTCACTGCCATTTCCGAGTGATTCTAGATTGATTTCCTAACAGAAGTGCTTTTTGACAGTAGCCCCCCGCCCTATGTTACCTGCAGTTTGGCTTTCCATGGTTTCAGTTACCCTTAGTCAACTGTGGTCCAAAAATATTAAATGAAAAGTTCCAGAAATAAGCAATTCATAAGTGTGAAATGTGCGCCGTTCTGAGTGGTGTGATGAAGCCTCACGCCAGCCCCCTCCGGCCCACCTCGGACGTGGATTACCCTTTGTCCAGCTTCTGCGCCTCACTTCATGCCGCCACGCTGGCATTGAATCATCCTGCCTCACAAGAAGGAGGGTGAGTACAGTACAATAAGATGCTGAGTTGGACCACATTCACGTAACTTTCCTTACAGTATGTTGTTAAAGTTGTTCTTTTATTAGTTATTTTCAACCTCCTCCTGTGCCTGATTGATAAATGTTATCATAGGTACGTATGTACAGGAAAAAACATAGTGTATATAGGGTTTGGTACTAGCCGTGGTTTCAGACATCCACTGGGGGTCTTGGAACATATCCCCTATGGATAAGGAGGGGACTACTGTAATTGCTGATCTTGAGCAAAATATTTTCAAAGTTTGTCATTCCTTAAAGCCAAGATTTTTAAACCAATGTCCTTTTTGAGGCTTATTTTACTATATTGTGTATGGTGTATAGCCACACAAAAAATCAGTCTGATAAATTTTAATGTACAGGGATGATGCCTTCAACCCAAATTACCATGGATTTATTAGCTCATTATATTTCCTCTGATGTGTAAGATGAACTCTTTTTGATTTTGTCTTTATTCTGTGAGTTAGATGCAGTATCTCTTTTCTTGTTGATCCTTATATATCTGCACTCATGAGTTTTGACAAAATGTTTTCTAGATAATGCTATTGTGTGTCATAACTGGTTTAATATTAAAGAAAAACAAAATTGTGATATTGGTTTTTGATGAAAGGTATTGTAGCAGTTGTATGTTTTTCCAAAATGATGTTTCCTATTGTATTAGAACTTATAAGTAAATTCATATCTAAAGCATATTGTTCATAAACATGCAGTTCCAAATTCTGAAATATACTATAACAAAAATATTACTAGCTTTAGCAAGCAGTGATCTTTACAAAGGTATTTTACTTTTAACATTTTCTGAATTATCAACATCAGTTCCCAACCAGTAGGTGGCAGCTGTTGGGGATGGATCCTGAGCTTTCAGGAGTCACTGGCGGGCTTGGGCGGCGGGCTTGGGGCCTGCAGGAGCGCGCCTGGCCCCCAGTGAGCTGCGCAGTTCTGAAGTGGTGAAGGCTGGGGAGCACTGGTAGAGTAGTTTCCATTGCTCCGTATTGGAATAATGTTTAGTTACTTTTCTCTATTAAAAAGTCATGTTGCCCATGACTTCTATATCAAACTACAGTTAAAAATTTTTTGTGACTTCTACTTTTTCATTTAAAAAATTTTACTATTGATTTTCTATAGGCAGATTTCATTTGAAAATACTGTTTCATTATAAAATTTGGCACTAGCTTAACATAATTACTGCTCTAACAGATTATCAGGAGGTGGAAATCTAGAGGTAAGTTTAGAAGTCCCTCTTCCCCTGCCGCCTAAGAAGCCATCTGATTGCAGGGAAGAAGCCTCTGAAGACCCCAAGGGGACAGTTATTGTCGCCCCTGCCCTTCAGGGCGTCAGCCTTCAGATGGGTTCTTTTCCTGCTCACTTTCCTCCAGGATTAGCTCACCCCTCCTGCTCCTTAGAGTACCCCCAGACAAATCCTGTCCATCTTTCACGGCCTCTCTGGTGCACCCTCCCCATGAATCGGTCTCCAGTGCCAACAGTAGTGCCGACAGCAGTGCCTGGCAGGGGGCAGGTGCGCAGGCAGTGTCTGGATGAGGGGCCAGCTGTTTCAGCCCCTTCTTTCTCAAGTCCCTTCACCTGCTATCCTTGCCACACATTTATGTACACTCAGCTCTGGAGTTTTGGATTGTTTATGGGGAGTGCATATGTGTGTGCATGTTTTCTCTGACCAAATTCAAGCTCCTGAGGGCAAACCTGAAACTCGTACTTCTTACCTGTGCCGGTGCTCCTAGTGGTCTCATTTTTATTTTTATTTCAAATATGTATTTATTGATTTCAGAGGAAGGGAGAGGGAGGGAGGGAGAAACAACAATGATGAGAGAATGATTGATCGGCTGCCTCCTGCATGCTCCACACTGGGGATCGAGCGCACAACCCAGGCGTGTGCCCTGACCAGAATTGAACCGTGACCACCTGGTTCATAGGTCAACGCTTAACCGCTAAGCCGGGCCTGCTGGGCCTGTCTCATTTTTAGTTGCTCTCTCCTTCCCTGAGCTCTACACTAGACAGGCAGAAGCAGCCATGCTTTCCTCGAGCAGGAAATGATGGCAGGAGTCCGAAGAGTTGTGTTAATGAGCGACGGGTTGGGACAAATCAGGCGAAGAGCCCTGGAACGGACAGTCAATTACTGACCTTGCGAGGACACTGAACCACTTTGAGTGAGTGGGGGGCATCAGATGGTGAGAGCACCGACATCAAGAAGGCATGGACTTGGCACCTGGTGTGTGTTTCACCGAACTGGTCACACTCTGGAGCTGTGCTGTCCCACATAGTGGCTACTAGAACTGTGGTGGTTCTTTAAGTCAACAACCATTCGGCTCCCCCCTTACTCTAGCTACAGGGACATGCTCCATAGCCACCTGTGGCAGGTGGCCACGAGGTGGGCAGCACAGGCCCCGAACATTTCCTTCACTGCAGAAGCTTCTGTTGCCAGCACTGTGTTGAGCTCCCTAATAGGAATATCGTAGAAACCAGAATAATGAGTTTTGTTAATTAGGTTAAAAGTAGACATGCAGAATATATCACAGTGCAAATGATTATTTTGGATAAGAAGGGGTCGAGGACCTATTTCTAGCATTCTAAGAGCCAAGATTTCTGTGTTCTTTGACCTACTTCTCAGTGTTCTTTACAGCATGCCCTCTACCGTACTCTGTAGACAAAAAGAGCAATGGTGTGAAGCCGTGAGATCAGAGCTTTGGCAGAAGTGAATGCAGTGGGTTATTTAGCACACAGACACGTCTATTACAGACAAGTACATGTATATTAACTCAACCATTGGCGGTGTCTTTGAACAAAGGTATGGCTTTTCAAAGCAATGGTTGCACCACTAAGTAATCAGGTGTCATTATTAATCACATTATTTATCATGTGAGCCCTTTAAGCAGTTTTCTCAGGCTAATAGCAGAAGTTAGAGTTTCAAAACAGGAGGAGGCAGCATTTGCTGGTTTAAGATGGAAGCCACATAAGGAGAGATGCAGATGGCCTTAAGCTGAGAGGCCTCAGCTGACAGCCCCGGCAAAGGGGCCTGCGTGGCCCCGGGCACCGAACAGCCCACACCCGACCAGGTGGGCAGGCGGTTCTCTCTGCCTTAGACACCTTGATTCCAGCCTGAGACCGAGCAGAGCACTCAGTCCAGCTGCCTGGACTTCTGTGATGTGTTATGTAGCAATGAATGATGAATACGGTATTGAAAAGGTGAAGAGGGGAAATCTTTGTACAGATTCCCTCTAGTATGGTGGTATTTTCGGCAAATGCATGAGTAAAATCTTACTAGGAAATCCTACACCTGGGCTTCATCTGGGATTTCTATGCCAGAGATCTGTCTTCATTGGAAATTTGACGACAAAAACTTGTAGCATCTTAGTGCGTCTAAAGCAGTGGTTCTCAACCTGTGGGTCGAACGACCCTTTCACAGGGGTCGCCTAAATACATCCTGCATATCAGATATTTACATTATGATTCATAACAGTAGCAAAATCACAGTTATGAAGTAGCAACGAAAATAATTTTATGGTTGGGTCACACACAACATGAGGAACTGTATTTAAAGGTTGTGGCATTAGGAAGGTTGAGAACCACTGTTCTAAAGGAACTGCTAGGAGTAGAAGGAATCCAACAGTGTATAAGGAATCTTTCTCCTAGAAAAAGTATTACCTTATGCCGATTTAGTCTGCTCTGAGCCTGTCAGTGTACGAACAGTGGTATTTTAAATAAGATACTAAATTAGGAGGAAAGATCCTTCTGCCTTTATGTAGAGACCATATGATCAATCTACTTTGTACTGGAGCACTTTTTTTAAAAACCAAAACTTATTGTCTAAGCACAGATCAAATCCTATAGTGCCAACCAAATTTTTGTACTTGGCAGATATTTTCCAAAATATCTCTGCTTCCAAGCTATTAATTGCTTGTCAAGTTTTTTATTTTGGTTTGTCCATTAATTGTGCTTAGTTTTAGTATAATGCTATACTTACCCTTGATGTAAGTAAAATAAAACTAAAGGGAAAAAAATGAGGCGCTAACACTGTCAGAGGTCAGAAATTGGGGTCATAAACGTATCTTATGTTTTGAGGGAACTACATATCACATCTTTCTTTTATAGAAAACTTTTCCAAACTATGTAGCGGTATTAATAGTGTAAAAGTTTGTTGTAAATTTTAATTAATCTTAGCAGATATATGCCATAACTAGTATGCTTTCTTTAATGCATGTGGATATACAATACTGACAAGACTATTACCACAGTGTATTTTTTTTAAAAAGAGGATTTGTTACTATGTCCATATCATCAATATCTATATATAAGCCCTTCTCACTGGAAATAGTCCCCTCACCAGTGTGGGCACTAAGTCACTTTCAAAGGCTCGGGCAAGAACCACCTGGCACTCCCCAGTGCACTTGAGTTCAGAATTTAGAAGACACCATTCAAGACAATAAACTGTGTTGAATGGACTGTACTTCGTGCTGTTATTCCCAGTGTTGTCACTGTTGCAGTAAAAGTGTAAAGTCTGTGCTAAAATCAGGTCTGTTCGTTGTGGGGAGTCCTCAGATGTTAGGGAAGCTACTGCATGTGCCCCTTGCTGCCAGCACTTCCTTGGTTTAGTAGCTAGCAAACTATCCTGGAATCAGGTTCGGTACTCAAGTGTGAGTAGCATTTCATGATTTATTTGCAATGCTCAGTGTTTGCTGAAAACATCTTTTGGATACATTTTCTGAGCCTTAAAAATGGTGATATCGCCAGTACTGTAAGATGCACTGCCAGCAGATTTGATACTCTTCATTAAGTATAGACAGTAGTGTTTTCTAAGGAGATTTAGAAGTCAGCTGATTCACAATCATCATGCTTCATTTATGGAATGAGAACCTGAAGTGTTTTCTCGTTGAGAACACTGCAGGAGAGGTGGTGTGCGTATCCGGGGAAGTTTCTGGACGTACCCTTGGAGAAGCTGCCTGAGGAATTCGTTTCCCAAGTTGTACTCACTTTTTTTCTCCTTAATGTATTGTACATATTCCTTACAAGGTCGTTACTGGTTGAATGGGTAACACCTGTAGTAATATTTTGGGTACCTGTTAAATTTTCAAAGGAAGATTATTTTCAAATTTGCTGCTATAACTTAATAACTGGTCCTGTTGACTGTGCCTTTCATCCCTGTTTGTGTCACACTGTTCATGTGTATTTGAAATAAAGACATTTAAAAATCCATGCTGAATTCAAGATTTCCTCTAATAAAATAATAGATTTCATGAAGCAAATTTTACTGGTTTTAACACTGATATAATAATATATTTGAATTATTTTCAATTAGAAAACAGCAGTGGATCCTCTATGTGGGTTTTAGGAAATCTTGCAAAAAAACCTTGGTGTTGAGACAGTGGTTCTCAGTGTGATGCAGATACTCATACATTATGTGCTCTACTCAGCTCCCAAATTAAGAGCAACCATCACGGGCCTCCGCACTCTAAGAAGTGTGATTTTTAGCAGAGAAAATGCTCTTAAAGATATTTAGGGCCTGAAGGTTAGACTAAGATCACATGCCCCACCCTACATAAGTGTTTAAAATACAGCCCTGACTGGTTTGGCTCAGTGGATGGAGCGTAGGCCTGCGG